GTGTGGCTTTGTTGTAGGAGGTGGGTGTGGCTTTGTTGTAGGAGGTGTATTGCAAGGTGGTGGGTTTTGAGGTCTCAGACTCTCAAGCCAGGCTGCCGAGTGGCTCACATTTCTTCTTGCTGCCTGCTGGTCTGGATATATATGGAATTTTCAGCTACCTCTCCAGCATCATGTATGCCTGGGTGCCACCATGCTTCCTGCCATGGTAGTGATGGATTATACCTCTGAAACTGTAGGCCAGCCCCAGTTAAATGTTTTTCTTTATAAGAGTTGCTGTGGTCATGGTGTCTCTTCACAGCAATAAAACCTTAATGAAGACATGGTTACAGCAGGGATCATGGCTTCCACAGGACACAGTTTAGCCCCTAATAACCCCTTTTATCTGTATGCTTCTGTGTTCTATTTTCTTGCATATTCCTATTATAGCCATTATTTTTTTGAGACTAGGTCTCACTATAGCCAGGCTGAACTGGAATCTCCTATGTAGCCCAAGCTGTCCTAGACCTCACAATGCAACCAGGAAGACCTTTGACCTATGGCAATCTTCTCGCCTCGGCTTCCTGACTGCTAAGAGCACAGACGGGGCACACCTGGCTGGCTGCATGCTTTCAAAGAGTAGTCAGTGCGTGTGTGGTTTTGAATGGGGTTGTGATAGCTGACACTGTAGGCTGCAGGGCTGAAGCAGCTGTCATGCTTTCTGGTGGTTCTGCAGGCTAGCGTTCTGGGATGGGTGCAGGGTGCCTGGCTCTCACTTCTCCTGCAGAAGCAGCGTTCTGTGTACATCCTCAGAGGACAGAGGAAGTGAGCTCTCTCTGTCGCTACATGAGGACACGAATCTTAGCAAGGGGACCCCATCCTCAACATCTGCTGACCTTTCAAAGGCAGGGCCCTCATTCCCACTCTCGGGGGCTATTACAGAGAACATGATTTTATTTTTATTTTTTATTTTTTTGTAATGTAAAATATTTCGAGAATGAAACCTAGGTATACACATGAAATTCATGTGTGTTTCACCTTATACACACAGTCTGACTATACTTTTATTGACTACTTCCTATCTGTATGTGTGTGTTCATAAGTTTTTGCCAGTGTGTGTACATGGGTGTGCATGCATGTGGAGGCCAGAGGTTGACATTAGCTGGCTTCCGTAATTGCTCTCCACTTTGTATTTTTAAGAGTTTTAAAGTATTTTTATTTATGTATTCATTCATTTATTTGTTTCTGTGTGTATGTTGATGCACACGTATGTTCCATGGCACATGTGTGGAGGTCAGAGGACAACTTGTAGGAGTTGGTTCTCCTTCTATTATGTGGGCTCCAGAAATCAAACTCAGGCTTGGCGACAAATGCCTTTACCTATTGAGCCATTCTGCAAGCCCACCCCCTGATTCTTTGAAATGGGGTCTTTCACTGGCCTGGATATCCCTGCTTTGACTGCACTGGCTGCCTGGGAGCCTCAAACATTCTCCCATCTCAACCTCCCCACCACGGGGATTACGAGAGCCCATCACTCCATCCCATTTATACTGAGTGCTTGGGACTGGGCTCAGCTAATCACTTTGCTGACTGGGTTATCTCTCAGCCCCAGAGCCTACATTTCAATAGTGACACGCTGTCACAGATAGATGGCCAGTTGTTTTTCTGGTAGGACTGTGGAAGGATTTTGGAGTTTCAGGAACTTTGAAGATGAGAATGTTGAAAGAGACGTAGACAGAGGAGGCCGGGCTTGGGAAGCTTCGGATGAAAATGAAAACACTAAGGGGGGCTGTTTGATATTTTTGATTAAGAATCTGTGGAACGGAAACCTTCTATTTTTCACTGGGAAAATAGATGCTTATTAATGGTGTCTGAACACTCAGCTGTGATTCAAAGACCAGCATCACTGAGGTAAATCTTCTGGGGAGTGTTTCCTCAGGGTCATCACACGGAAAACTGTGGTCCATTGGGAGCCAAGGCTGCATCTCAGACTGGAAACTGACCGCGGGAATGTGGAAGAGCTCATATGGTAGTTGTTTGGGTGGTGTGGAAGCTGCAGTGTTGGCGAGGTTATGAGGAGAAACCAAGACTTGGCACTGTGCGGCAGGGTCAGAGTCTCACAAAAGAGGCCAACAGAGGCCATGGTTGAAGGGGTGCAGTAGAGACCTCAGGATATTGGAGACGCCGGGACTGTGGGATGTCTTCCAGGGACAGGTGTAGAGCGAGGCTGCAGAGGAGACAAGCTGCATGTTCTGGGGAATGAAAGAGCTGGAGGGACTGAAGACATATTCAAGGTTTTCGGAGTCAGATCGTGAGTCTCAGATATCAGACACTGAGGTTTTTTATACTACTCAGCTTTTGCTTTAGATTTATATTATTCTAACATTTTTTCAAGAGTCATCCATAACTAAGAGACTTTGGGTTTTGAAAGAGACCGTGGACTCTTACAGTGTTAAGCATGCTAAAGATTGCAGGAATTTAAAACGCTGAACTACATTTTATATCATGATATTAACATGAGATGTTGGGAACAGATAAGAAAGGATAGGTTATGGTTTAAAGTGATATGTTTGCATGTCAAAGTTGACAAGGGATGGAATAGCAAGGTTAGCTTTAGCTGTCAACCAGACACACCTATGAAGAGTGCAACTTAATTGACGATTTAGCTATAATACTAATGGCTTATGGGCGTGTCCGTAGCACATTTTCTTGATTGATAATTACTGTATGGGTAGTACCATCCCTAAGTAGGCAGGCTTTAGATGTATGAGAGAGGTAAGCAGAAAGTGATCCAGGGAGCAAGCTAATCAGTCACGTTCCTCCGAAGCTTCTGTTTCAAATCCCGCATTAAGTTTTGGCCTTGACTCGATGGGTTATAACCTGTATGATTAAAACAAAACAGAAAACAAAACAAAACCTTTCTTCTCAAAGTTGCTTTGGCCGTGGTGTCTATTACAGAAACAGAGTAAGCAAAGTCGCACCCATGAAATGTAAGGTCATATATGAATATTGGTGGCCATAGAAGTCAAAAGGTTTTGGATCTCTGGCAACGGGAGTTGTTGGCAGTTGTGAGTCACCTGACACGGGGGTGGTGACAGAACTCCAGTCCTGTGCAAGGAGACTAGCCCATCCTAGTGCTCTCAAGCACTGGGCCATGTCCCCAGCCCACATGCCCACCTATGTTTTATGTAACAGGAAGGCTAGCTATCAAGATGAAACTTGATTTAAAAAGAATTCTATACTAAGCATGGTGGCATATGCCTATATTCTCAATACCTGGGAGACGGAGACAAGAGGATCAAGAGTTTCCAGTCACCTTCAGCTCCATAGCAAGACCCCAACCCAGACAAACAACAAGAACAAGCAATCTAATGAACCATTCCCTTAGTGCTGGCTGCATCTGTAAAGTTCGACACTACTGCTGATACCATGTTATATTTAAGTAGACCCAGCTTTGGTCACTGGAGAGCACTGCCTTTTTTCATTTGTAGGTAAATCCTGTCCTGTGTCCCCTTTGTCATTTTTCTCAAGAGCTTCCAATGTTACTAAGGAATCAAGATTCCTTTTGCGAGGTCTTAGGTTTTGTTTTTGTTTTTGTTTTGTTTTTGATAATAGAATTTAAAAACAGTCTTTGAAGGAAGCTTGGGACCATCTTATCAGAGTTTGAGAGAAAAACAATGGGTAAGTACTCTAAATCCCAGCAGCTGGTGAGGTGGAGGTGAAGAGGAGGAAAGCCACATCTTTTGAGTTAAAGTCAATAAGCAATGCCATGGGGGGAGGGGTACTTCGGACAAAGAGCAAGAGAGATCAGAATGAGAAGAGGTAGGCTTAGGATGTGGGAGAAAATAATGTTTTTTTTGTATGTTTGTATGTTTGTTTGTTTGTTTTCGTACTTAGAAAAGTGGCCAGGGTTAGCAGTGAAGATCTGTAAGCAACTGAAGTGAAGGAGGAGCTCCTGGGCACATGAGCCATTACCCCATCAAAGGAGGATTCTCCACCTACTTCTGTAACATGGCTTGGGCTGTATTAATTTTGTGAGGCGTGGTTTCCCGGCCAGATAATTAACTCTTAAGAGAGAGACAACAGTGCATACTGCTTTAGGAAGTTTAGATCATCAAGTCTTCACCCAGGGTCAGAGACAGAAGCATTCTCCCTTAGTGGGTGTCAGCGAAGCCATGGCTCCTCCATCTCTTCCCTCTCATGCAGTCCTTTAAAGTCTAGTTGGGGGCAGCTGGGACACTTCCTTTTTCTTAAAATGAACGTGTTACCAGAGAAAGGTCCAAAGCTGATCATGAAGGAAGGATCCATGCTCACTGACTTTTAAGCCTACTGCTGCCTGGCTTAGCGACCTAACACTAGCATTGAAAATGCAGACAGGCCATATTTTTATATTGATCCCCTGTTTTGATGATTGATAGAGTTTGGGAGCAACCAGTGCACAGGAAGGAACCGTTATATTGTCCTTTATGGAAAGGAACAACATTTAGGATTCCTAAAGGTTGGCAATAAGGGAGCCTAAAGACAAAATGCTGTGCTTGAGAGAAAATAAAAATTTTTGCAAAAGAAACATAAAGAAGGAGGCCAACAAAATGACTCAAAAAGTGGGTGAAGGGTCTTGTATAAGGCCTGGTGACCTGAGTTCAATTCCTGGAACCGCTGTAAAGATGGAAGGAGAAAATTAACTCTGAAGTTGTTCCATCATCTCTGCACATGCACTGTGTCATGAATATGTCCCTCCCATCCATCACACACTCACACTCAAAATAATTTTTAAAAATTCTTAAGGATATATTCATGTCACTGTGATAAAAATATCCTTACAAAAGCAAAAGGGGAAACCCCTTGTCAGCCTGACAATCAAATGTATCACTTTAAATCCTACCTTCCATCCATTGTCCTCACGGGCTCACAACCCTGTCACGGTGTAGAATTCACTCAGTGAAACTTTTAAAGTCCCCATAATTTTAACATATCCAATACTTTAAAAGTTTTAAGCCCCTTAACTTTGACCTTGTATAGAATCAAATATAAGTACTCCCAACACATAATTGCACATAGTAAATATTCTTATTCCAAAATGGAAGGGATAGGGGCATCTAAGGAATAAGACAAAAGCAAAAGTAAACCCAGGAGAGAAAAGACAAACTCCAGTTCCAAGTCCTCCTGGGGCTCCTGATGAAACTTGCTGGATTCCAAAGGGCTTGATAAATCCACCATCCACCTTGATCACCCCCCCACACACACACACCCTGTCTCTAGCTAGCTCTATTCGCTGCCTGCAGCTCTTCTTGGCAGACATCCTGTGGTCATGACATCTCAGAATTCCTGGAGTCTTCATTGCAAGCTCGAGGCCATCTTCACAGTGTTACACTGTGGTCTCCCAAGGCCTCCTTTCTGAGATTCTGTCATTACGAAGGATGTCGTGGCCTCAGTTACTCTCTGAAACTGTGCATCAGGACTTCATGACCACCTGAGTGTTGCAAGTTTCATGTACCCAAAACCAGGACCATCTGAGGAATGCTTCAAAGTTCTGCTGCCAGCTCAGGATGCTGCCTGACTGCCTTGGACCAGGGCTGTACCACCTTCTGTGTTTGACCCTGAGGAAGCCCTCTCCTAGGTAGTGGTGTTTGAGAAGCAGGTAACCCCGTCACAGCTGCATGCTCGGTTCAAGCTCTCTCTTTTCACATCCATCCATGTCTTTATTCCTGCAGTCTGTAATGTGTGGGATTCTGCGCGACCCTGTCCTGTGTCATGGAGATCCTGCATTTTGGGATCTGTAGATCCGTCCCCTTCACATGTTCCAAATGTTCATAGGTGCTGTGGAGGCTGGGGTGTCCTCTCTTACAGACCTGGTCCTGGACCTGGGTGGTAGCTGAGTTGGTGAACCTGCCAGCTTTCCCTCACAGTCACTGTGGGCAGAGGAGAGCTCTCAAGCACTGCCTAGGCTCACTGCTTATCCAATGAGCCTGCAGTAGGGCGCGAGGCCAGTTCTCCTGTTCTCAGTTCCCCCAGCCCCACCCCGCTTATATGCCAGTGTTACAGTTTTGCCCAGGGGAGGTGCAGGACCATCTCTCCCAATTACTGCAGAGAGTGTACATGAGTGAGGGTGAGAGTATGGGGGGGAGGGGTTGGTCAACTCCAGTGTGCTGTCCAGGCTGGGTGCAGGGCTCACTCCCCTTATGCCTTATGTTTTATCACTAGTATAGACAGTCTGTGTTTCCATCCACTCACAATCCTTTTATATGAAATATTGAGGCTACTGAGGCAGGAAAGTAAGAACTGTCAAACTGTGGGAGCATGGGAAGAAAGAGGATCCCCTCATCCCTGGTCTGACGAAAGCATCTCTCCAGCTGAGGACTGAGAATTCCTACACAATTAAAACATTTACTAAGGAGGCTGCCAACAGCTTTTTACAGAGAGAAAAATGTTAAAATACCACTGAACTCTGTTTGAGGCCTATGTAGTTTTCAAGTATGAGCCTTAATATTTTCACAGGTATTTCCTGGGAATCTCATAAACAAGACTTAGACCATTGTTTACAAGAAAAAATATTATCTTCCTTTCTTTGCTAACTCTGTCATCTAGGGTTTTACCTCATCAGTTGTGATCTTATCCAGTGCATAGGAACCACCGTGGGTTCTCACTCCCTTGACTATTCAGAACCCATCAAAAACAGGACATACGGCTACCGTAAAGACACTTAGTGGGGACTCTTCTTAGAGAGACCCACACCCATTTTCTTGGGTGTGCTCCATGTTTTCCCCAAGTGTGTGGGTGCCTCTCCTTTTCCTAACCCTCCTACTTCAAAATGGCTGTTTTGTTTCTGCTGGTTAGAAATTTCTTTCTGCAGCCAAGTCAAGACTCCAGCTTTACCTGAGTTGGGTCCCTAAAAGATTAAAGCACATTTTCAGGCTATCAGCAGCGGCACTGAGTTGTGTCTGTAGCCTGTGGATGCTGTCAATGCCACTTTTAAAATGTTCCTTTCTCATATAGACCTAAATGAGCGGGGGAGGGGGATAAAGGTAGAGGTGAGATATATATATATATATATATATATATATATATATGCGTGTGTGTACGTATATATATGTATATACACATATGCACATGTATACATATATATGTGTATATATATATACATATATATAATTTTTGCTTCTTTATTCTTTGAATTGTTTTAATAAAATATGTGTCTTTGGGGCAAAGGCAGGGAGTATTGTGGGATGGGGAGAGAGGGAAGAGGAGGGAAAGGAAGAGAAAAGATGATGGGGAGGAAAATAAACTAAGAGAAGGAGGAAGGTGGAGCTAGGAGGAGAGGACTGGAGGAGGGGAGCAGGAGCAGAGGAGGAGCAGGAGCAGGAGGGACAGATGGAGCCTGTTGACCCCCAAGCCTCTGCAGCAGCATGTCTTTGCAGCGTTTCTAGTGTGGCTTGACAAAGCATGCTGATTATAGAATTTCTTAAAAGGTCATTTGGTAAAGTGAAATAAATGACTTGGAAAAAAATAATTCTAAAGGGAAATTGTTATGAACAATTAAATCATAATAATCATAATTTAAACCACTTTGCAATTAGTCTTCTTATGAACATCTACAACTCCAAAGTGATCTTTGCAAAAATGAATCTTGGCAACCAATTAGTGCTGGGTCTAGTCTAATTTAATTGATTTTTTTGTGAGAGCAGAAAATGCCGAGGAAGTTTCCTAGAAAGGATCACCATTTAAAATACTCCTATGCAATAATATTTTTTTTGGAAAAACATGTAACATGTGATTTTATTACAAATTAAAAATATTGTGCCTATTTCCTTCCTAGTCAATACCTTACTATAACTTAGAGGTGTCTGTGATGTCTGTGCAAATTAAATCTGTATAATGATGCTTATTATTTTCACTTATTAACAAAAGCCATTTCTGGTGACTATTGCTAACTCTGTTTAGAAGCAAAATATCACCACCTGTGCTTCAATGATTATATTTGAGGCAAAATTTTACATGAAATGCAGCAACATCCTCTTTCATTACATATGCATTCTTGAGGCAGTATCTCATGTAGCCCAAGATGGTTGGGAACTTGTTGTAGCCACGAATGACCTTGGATTCCTTATTCTCTTCTCTCTTTCTTCCAGAGTGCGGGGTTACAGGTATGAACACTACAGTTGGTTTGAAAGACTCTGAGGACAGAATCCAGGGGTTATTCAGGCCGGGTAACTCTATCAACTGAGCCACATCCCCAACTATTTAAATTTAACTTTATAAGTCAAATAATCAGGAAGATGTTGTAGCAACCCTGAGTACTACTGATGTTTACTAAGTCTCCCAACCCCATACAAAGCTAAGGAATCGATGTCACGAGTAGCTTATGGGATGTCTTGCCTATGGAAGCCGTCTTCTCTGTGTTTATACACAGTGTGCTGATGATTCAGATTTATTTCACAAAATCAGTCCCTGACATAAAATATCCTTTGATGCAGATTCCCTTACAATTTATCAAAGCAAGACAAAACATTGAAAACCGGTCATATGCCTTGTGACTTGCTTCACACGCCTTTGGGGAAGATGGCCGATGTGGTAGGAATGTGTAAGGAAAGACTAAAGTTAGTCGCTAACGGCAGAGTGTAATTTTAAAATACCAACAATAGCTAGATTCTCTCACGTGGCACCTGCGATCCGGAGGTTGGATCTCAGACTAGGAAGCAGAAACTAAACACTCCAAAATGCTTTGGCCCAGCTCCCAACGACTTGCAATTAGAACTGAAACAGAGACTCAGCTAAAAAATCTTGGGTAGACTCTTGCAAACTGCAGAAAGCAAAGGAAACATTTGCTGCCCTACCTCTCGGGCTTCTTTCAATAGGAAGGAAAAAGTGGGAGACACAAGAAAAGAAGGAAGGAGCTTGTCTTATCTTAGTGTTTCTATTGCTGTGAAGAGACACCGTGACCACAGCAACTCTTATAAAGGAAAACCTTTAAGTGGACCTGGCTCAGTTCAGAGGTTTAGTTCATTAATCATCACGGTAGGAAGCAGCGTGCAGGTAGACATGGTGAGGGAGAAGTAGTCGCCCAGAGAGAGCTTACATCTGCATCCACAGGAGGCAGGAATGGAATGCAACCCTGGGCCTGGCTTGAGCACCTGAGATGGCAAAGCCCATTTCCGGTGACACACTTCCTCCAACGAAGCCACACCTACTCTAACAAGGTCACACCTCCTAACAGTACCACTCCCTATGAGTCTATGGGGCCCGTTTTCTTTAAAACCATCACAGAGTTAGATGGGAAAAGGGAAAGAGAAGAAATCCCAGAGAACTGAGAGCCTACACACGGATGGTGCACTGGGGTCCTCAGTGGAATCAGCCAAGCGGAATCAGCCAATCACCTCCTAGCCATTCTGTCCCTGCCCTCTTCTCCTTCCCCCTCCCATCCCAGCCCTGCCCACTCTCCTGACTGACCCCGCCCACCTATGTACCATTCCCTTGACCCCAGGTTTAATGTCCAGGACTTTCACAGGGCTCAAGGGGGAATTAGGCCTTTACCAGATCTCAATGAAGCCGAATGAAGGTTTTCAGAGCGCTATCTGGACTTGTTTTTCTCTGTTTCCAAGTGGGAAACCTGCTGCTGTTTCCAAAGCTTCGCCAAGTCAAGGGAAACAAAGCAATGCCCAACCCCTCCCTCCTCCTGTAAGGTGCCATGCTATTGTCTAGAACATTTGGTTAAAGAGCCAAAGATGCATACTTTCCTGACTACTCAAGTGAACACAGATACTCTCGAAAAAGAAATTTAAATAATATATAATTTCTCAAAATAACCACTAATGGATTTGGTATATTCTTTTTGAGTTATTCTACAATTGACATCATACATACATTTTTTATCCCCGAATGTACTTGTATATATCACTCTGTGGCTTCTCAGATGTGATGGTCCAATTTAGACTTCTTTCCATGTTGATACACAGAGATAGATCATCTTGTTGTTTGAAAGCCTACATGCAAAAAAAAAAGAAAGCCTACATGCTGTGTGTCTATATTATAATTTAGCTTAGTAATTTTTTAAAAATGGATATTTAGGCAGTTTCTCTTGTTTTCTTCAGCAGATATCTGCAGACTGTCATGTCAGGTTTTGCTGTAGGATAAATTCTTAAAATTGAATACTTGGGTGAAATGTATTGATTACTTGATTTTTTTAAAAAAAGATTTCATGAAGCCTAAGGTGGCCTCAACTTGGCTTTGTGAACAAGAATAGTCTTGAATCCTTGACCTTTCTGCCTCCATCTCCCAAGTGCTGGGATTACAGGTGTGTCTCACCATATGGAACAAAATTTACCTCTTCTCCCTTCCTTCCTCCCTCCCTCCTTCCTTTTCCTTTCTTTCTTTCTTTCTTTCTTTCTTTCTTTCTTTCTTTCTTTCTTTCTTTCTTTCCTTCCTTCCTTCCTTCCTTCCTTCCTTCCTTCCTTTCTTTCTTCCTTTCTTCCTCTCTCTCTCTCTCTCGTGGTTTGAATGCAGCTGGTGGAACTGTTGGGTAAGGAAATGCTGACACACGAAGCAGATCATGTTGGAGGAAGTGTGTCACCGTGGATGGGCTTTGAGAGACTATGACATTCCAATCAGCTGTTACTTCTCCAGCACCATGACTGCTTGTCTGCTCCCCACCATGATCATTGTGGACTGATCCTCTGAAACAGCAAGCAAGCTCTCAACTAATGCTTTCTTTTGTAAGTTTCCTTGGTCATGATGCCTCTTTCCAGCAACAGAAAAGTAACTAAGACACTGGCTTTGAGCTTGCAGAGATCCTCCTGCCTCCACCTCTCTAGTTCTGGGATTGTAGGCTGTCCCAGGTGTTTACTAGTGTGAAAAACACCATGACAGAACCAACTCGGGGGAAGAAAGGGCTTATTACGTCTTACTCTTTGAGGTAACAGTCCATCACTGAAGGAAATCAGAGTAGAAACTCAAAGAGGGCAGGAACCTGGAGGCAAGAATGAAAATATAAACCGCAGAGGTAAGTTTTGTTCCACATAGTGAGTGTACTTCTTGGTTTGCTCCCCAAGACTTGCTCAGCCTACTTTGTCTTACAACCAAGATCACCTGCTCAGGGATGGCCCAGCCCACCGTGGACTGGGCTCCCCAGCCTCAGTACTAATTAAGAAAATGCACCATAGGCTTGCCCTCAAGCCAGTCTGATACCGGATTTTTCTTAACTGAGATTTCTTCTTCCAGATGACTTGACAAAAACAACGAAGCACAAGCCACAAACCACAGGCGTCACCAGTACATAGGCATGATTCTCTGTTCCCACCAACTAGATGAAGGTCCACGGAGGCTCATTCCTGTAGACTCAGGTCCACACCCATGGGTTGGAATGTCAGCCCGTTTGAAAATGTCTGTAGCTTTCCGCAGCGAGTAGCATCCCGTCTGTCAGTCCTCAGTGGTGCCCCAACCTACAGTATCTTCAAGATGTATTGTCAAAATAAACCGACCTTTATAGTTTGCTGTAGAGATTAGCCACATAGTTCCTGGAATGAAGTTCCATTTTACAACAGTTCAGAGAACTCCTTCCCTGTGCTTAGCAACTGGTAAATGTTTACTTTAAGGGTCACCTCTCTCTATGTGTTCCAGAGCATGCGTGCACACGCATACGTCTGTGGAGGCCGGAGGTCAACCTTGGGTGACATGCCTCGGGAGCCTTCACTTTGATTTTGAGTCAGGACTCTGGCCAGGACCTGAGGCTCACGAATTCAGCTAGGCTGGCCGGTGGATGAGCCCCGGGGATCCTCCCATCTCCACTGCTCTTGTACTGGGATGATAAGCACCTACCATCACACCCAGGTTTGTTATGTGGGTGCTGGAGAAGACCTCAAGTATTTACGGTAAGCAGTGATTGACTGAGCACTCTCCCCAGCACTGTTTACCTTGGCGGGGATGCCTTCTGAGGAGGCGAGTTTGTGTTATGGCTAACTTGCGCCTGTAGTCCTCTAAGCTCACAGTGGCCTGAGAGTTCCTCAGCCACACTTTTCTTTTGCAGACAAACCCA